GACATATTAAAGCGGCAGTGTCACCCGCTGCGCATCTGTTCTGCGCATAACAAACCGATTTTCGGAATATGTCGGAAAAGGTCGGAATCACAACATTCCGACTATAAAAATGTGCATATATTCATATTTTCAGCGGCGGAAAAGACCAAATAATTGCTTCATTTCACACAGGTTAACAATTATAGTTGTAAAAGTTCATGTGCCACCAAAAGAAACGAGAACAGTAACCGAGGTTGCCCGCGTAAGGCAAATATTAAAGAACGTTGTGTATTCTGCCAGCTGCAAGTGTGAAGAATAGGGTATATGTGCGAATCAAATGTACTTGACGGTATCTTTTATTTGTGTTTGCATATTATACCACATTATATTTACTGTTTATCCTACTTTGTTGTAGGAGAACGTTTGCGAAAGTACCATGTAGTGCATGTACTTCGTGGCCTCACACAGCGTCCAACTGTCAATACTGAGAAAACGATGATACTGTAAGGTTTGTGAATTTCTAATACATCTTATTAAATTGTTTAAAACGTTTTTAAAATGAGGTATATTAAACATGTTTGAAGATGCGGTACAGTCCGTATGTAAACAAAGGCTTGGTTCACATTTAAGTATCCAAAATACTGAATTTTATTGGACGACTATTTATATTTTCATGATTCTAGAGTATAATAAATTATCAAGACACAACGATCAATCTTTGCCGGAATATAAAATGAACTAAAAACCTAAATGAACTGTTTGTATAATAAAAAGAGGCCTCCTGTGAGCAGATGCACAGATCTGACTGTACTGCATCTTTAAGTTGAATAACTTTGGCAGAAACTGTTGAATGGTGATACCAGGGGCAAAACTAGCCCCCTTTTAATTGGATGGTGTCTGCTAGAATTTCCCTGCGAAAGTCGACGATGCCCTGCAGCAAAAATTTTTTTGGCCGCTATTTCTCCCAAAAATGTTGGCGAGCGGGGGGGGAGGTAGAAAAATTTGGGGGGAGGTCGGTTTCCGGATATTCAAAAAAGGGGCGAAAACATTTTTCGGACATAAACCAATTCAATTATGCATCAAAATATTTTTTCGGACAAATTCCTGTTAAAACTTGCATGAAACCCTTATTTTTTTACCAATATCTGTAAAATTTAGGTCTATAAATTCTATTCAATTCCCTCTGGAAGCCACTGAATAACTCTACATTATATCATTTAAATTTTTTCATTGCCCTGCCAATCCAGATGATTTGCCCTGCCAATCCAGATTATTTGTACTTTTGCCCCCCCCCCCCCTCAAGTTTCATCCCTGGGTGATACAGTATAAAGTCTAATTGGGAAGTGATGGCACAGACTGAAATTTGAAACGGGAAATAATTTCGCAAAGGCAGATTGCCGACCTGTCAGGACATCATGTCAGGGCGGCAGATTAACATGCTGTAGACCTGTTTGCTGATGGCAAATTGTTGCTGATCTGATTTTTCCTATTTCAGATGGCCTGAATATTAGCCAAATGACACATAATTATATATTTATATAAGTGAAATATCCTAACATTTTGTATAATAGCTATTTAGTAAATAAAAATAACTAACCCCTTAACCTTCTAATTGAAGCTAATTGCAATGCATATGGGGCTTGTGCATGTGAACCGTGTATCAGGCCATTTTGTTGTTCTCACCAAAAGCTTTGCTTTGATACCAAAGCGAGGCTTTGTGATGGAAACAATAGCATGACTTAAACCCATAAAGGACCAATTATCTTGCTTTGATGCTAGAAATTGGTAAAGCTGTTGGATAGTCATTTCATTATTTTATTATAAAATACATTATTAAATTCACAGGCATTTATTCATACACTGGATGAAGACACAGTGAGAAAACTGGCAATTAGAAGCCTAAGAAGAGGAATAAGGAGTACGGATTATGTTCACACATGGGCTCGGCATGGATATTTGGGCAAAGGGAATCGCAGTGTTTGCCCCTCTTGTGTAGTCCTCAAAATAAGACTTTTGACTGGAGTTTATATGTGGTACAGAGAACAATAATATTCATGAACCTTTGGTAAACTTTCTAAAGCAAAGGGAATTTGATTTTAATAATTTATATTCTAATTTATGTACCTATGTATATAGTAAGTAATAAAGATTTTTTATATTTTGTACAAAATTGGAATGTGTCACTGTTACATCAGTTATGGCAAAAATCAGTATTTTCGTTTTGGTATGTCCACACCGTTGCTGGTGTGATATATGTTGCTGGTGTGATATATGTGCAACAGTGGGGAGCAATGTTGCATTTAAGGAAACATGGCAGGTGATATAACCATCATCATGCAGTCAATCTGTTGCTCGTTGGATAACCTTTGAAATGAGAACTGGAATGCACTCAAATCCTTTTTCAACTTTCACACTTTTCACATCCCACTGCCTGGTCCTTCTGTTGTTGGAAAGGCTCATGACTTTGTAGTTTGTACAGGTGACTCAACACGAGAAAGGGTTTGTCATCTGACCTTTATTTTTAATGGTGTAGATGTTTGGGGTTCTGAAAGCAGGAAATATGAAATATTATACAGCACTAATACCTGTGGTCAATGCTGTAAATTATATAAATATAAACCAATTCTTTTTATAATTTTTGACACAAATTTTCTTTGTCTAATATACCTTGCAAAATCGTATTTTGAAACTGAATAGTAATATTACTCCCATTACAAAGCACATCCTATATAAAAGTGAATGTCCTCTTCATACCTTGGCTGATGTTTGCTTGTTCTTCAAACCATATGAGACTCATTGTGTTCTACTTCCGTTGTCAAGACAGGACTCAGTTGCCACCAGAAAGGTCCAGAATCGATGTGCTTGAATTTCGTCGTTGTTTTGGTAGTATTTTTGCAGACGCTGATTCCCCTAAATACAAAGCAAAATAAATTGCACATTAGGCTCGTTTACTCTTCGAAATATATTGAAAATCATATTGTAAACCTACCTGCGGCAAAATTCCAATGACAATTAGATGTGCAGCAAAGTTAGTGTCATTTGAATGTTCATATCCACCACTTATTTTGGCCTCTTGCCACGTATCAAATGTCTTATCACTTAAATAGATCCTTCTGTGCTCTTTCTCCCATAAATTTCTGTGCTCTTTTCGGCTCGAAAACACCTTTTTTCGACCAGCATTTTTCCTTGAACCCCCGTACTGAGTCAGCATGACGCCCCGGGCAGACGCCATATTGAAATTCGATACACTTGAAAAAGTTGGGTCAACTTTTTCAAGTTGATCTATGCGCAGAACGGATGCGCAGCGGGTGACACTGCCGCTTTAAATATATATTCAGTAACAACACGCGAATTGCTATAAATAGCAACGTTACAGTCTAGTAATGATATGATGATTTGTTGTGCTTTTGTTGTAAGTAGGCATTTCACTAAAATATATTGAAAATCCTTCTAAACGATTTTTTATAAAGTATACAAAGCATGATATACATTGATATCGAAACACAAAATTCAAAGTTTTGAACAATTTGAGCTTCGTGACTCTGGTATAGACGTATGGGCCTAATGATTTAATTGTGTTACATTCCACTGGAAATCACCAAAATGAGCTTTTTTAAAAGTTTCGCTTGAGGCTCCAGGGCAATAACCCAAGCTAGTTTTTATATATAACATGTACTCATGCTATACCATTCCGTGGATGAAATATAAACAAATTCACGATTATCGCACATAGCAAATTTCCCCTTGAAATCCAGTGACAAAATGCAATTGTAAAATTTGACTAAAAATAGCCAATTTCAACAACGTCTGTCAGGCCAGTTAAAGCCTCCTGGGCCACTCAATATTGATAAAATTGTTCTTTAATACTTGAATTATAGTCATTAAACCATCAAAACTATTTACGGGCAGTTTTGAATCTGTCGCGAAGTGATGAAATTGACCATGGCAACGGCTTTGTATGCGGCTAATTATAGCCTTCCGGAGACAAATTCTTGATTTCTGATATTTGTACGTTTATCGACCAAATATTGAATATCTAACCCAAACACCATTTATAATTAGGTATTACCTAAATTTGAGCAAAATATGAAAGAAATCTATTTTTCATCTATTGCCACTGTTTGCTCGATTTTTACGGACAGTCGCTCTTAAACTCACCTATAAAGGATTCTTGGATCGATTTATACAGTATTCTTTATTCACAGAATATGACGACTTTTGTAAGTAATAGCCTATATAGTGTATTCACAACATCCAAACCAAACCTGAATTAATATATCCATCGAACCAAATAGAAATGGCTTTTAAATCTGTTTCAAAACTCTCAAATCTCAAGTAGCCGACGCTTCCCGATCCGTTTCCAAGAACAACGCGAAAAAAACTGGGAACGAATATCTTCTTATATGGGCAAGCTCTCCTAATAAGGCAGGCTATTAAAAGCGCGAATATTCGCAGTGTTTCCCGCGTTGGTTACTAGAGCACATTTAACAGCACACTCGTTCACTTCGTTTGTTTAAAACAATTAGAATGAAGCATACGAAAGAAGAAATTTGTCAAATGCGCAATGCCAGAAAGAAGAGAAAGCGGCAACAGAAATCAGAAATAAAGCGCGCAAAGATAGTTGAAGACGCGGTCCGTGATGTTCGTGCGGAAGCTGATCAATGCAAGAGCCAAACAACAAACTTTGGAAAAAATGTCTGAAAGCCAATAATCAACTGAAACGACTATTTAACGATAAAACGAATAAGAAGGTATATTGTATATATGCCACACATCTTCAAGTATAATATTGATATATTCAAATATATTTATTTAATATATTCAGGGCCGTACGCACGATTTTTTCCACCAGGGGGGTAGTAAGGCCTATATGCCGAATAAGCTATATGCCCAAGTCCCAAATACCCAAAGAATAATTAATAATGTCATTCTAAAAATCGTAAATATAGTTTTCTCTGGGGAGGGGGTAGTTGCCCCCCTTGCTGTGTAGGCCCTGATTATATTAAATAAATAAATAAATAAGTATTAAATGCCAGGAGGGGGGGGGGGTTGCTAACCTCTTCAATTTTAGAGTCTCAATATACATTTAGGGACAGTTTATATCTTTAATTTGCACATCCAAGGAGTCTGACATGCATGTTCCGATTTACAGAGAACTAAGCTATATTTTTATCAGAATTACCATAGAGGGAGCATCCTCATTCCCAAGGCTTCTAAGTGGCTGCCTGCATTGCCATAAGCCCTGAGACAAGCCGAACCGGAAGTGTGAATTTATTGGTCACTGGAAACCAATGCCAGTATGGATGAGCAAACACCAGGATCTCTGGTGTTCCGGTTTCGGCTTGCCTCAGGTTCAGGGCTTATGATAATAATATATACAAGCCCTTATACAGTAATAATAACAGTGGTAAATAATGTTCTCATCCTTTATTTTTAAAATAGATTATAAACCAGAAAAATATGTGTTCCAATCCTAACATCAAGTATCCATCAATAAATGTAATCTCTCCTGATGAGTTAGTGATTGCAAATGTTGAATCCATAGGGAGTGGTGTCTTTGGCAATTGTTTTTTACACGACTAGGCATAAATGTGGTTGAAAAGCAGCTCAATAATGGTGATATTGATCAGCTATATAACGAAGCAAAGCACATGCAAGTCTTTTCCCACCGATGTATACCACATCTATTTGGAATACAGGTAGAGAGAAAACCATTGTCACTGATCATGGAATTTGTGGAAGAGAACAACCAGTCAATTATATGACAGTGTACAAGGTGTTGTATGATCCAACTGCAGAGAAAACAAAATTGGGTATGTCCATAGCAGACTGGCTTCGCATCTGTTATGATATTGCAGATGGGTTAGATCATATGCACCAGAAAGGCTATTTATACTGTGACCTAAAAACAAATAATGTTTTTATCTCCAAAAAGAAGGGCTATATTATTGACTTTGGTAAAGTACGTAAGATTACACACTCTTCTGCCAAAAAGTACAAAGAAGTCTTTAGCCATATTGCACCAGAGGTACTTCAAGGCTCTCCTGCGACCACAGCCAGTGATGTGTATTCTTTTGGAAAAATCTTGAAAGCCATTGCACAAGAGGTTAATAGTACTGTACTGCTTCAGTTAGGTAAAACAGCCATAAGTAGCGATCCCAGAAAAAGGCCAACTCTTCTAGGACTACTGATTGCTCTCAACGCAGAGAAAATTCACTGACACTGATTATTAAATTCATCAATCTAAACAAATATGAGCCAGAATCACAATTAACCCATTTACTACCAGTACTCTACCACTGATGAGTAAAATCGCCTGGCGTTGGACGGAGTAAATACTAAAGTAGGGTGCTTTTGGGCACATTGCCTGCTAATGGGTCAAACAGAACATAAATCTGTACAGTATATTGCAAAAATATTAGTTGTGACTTTGGCTACCAGATAAAGCTTTACTGGACCATGTCCCCTTACTGTGGTGCAATACAGCATTTACTTATATAAAATAATATGTCTAGTTTAATTAAAATAAACTCGGTTATTTTCTAACAATATAAAGTTAACACACAGTAATGGTGGCAACTCTTGTGCTGTCAAGATGTTTCGTCTTTCGGCAGCAGGTTGTCAAGATATTGTGTATTTCGGCAGCCAGTGAAAGCCTTACTGTGTTATACATGCTACCAGTACCATACCTAATACTAACTTAATGAGCTATGTAACACATAATTTCCTAAAAAGTAACAATAAGCTCAATTTTTAAACTTAACCTCTAAACACACAGTAATGGTGGCAACTCTTGTGCTGTCAAGATGTTTCGTCTTTCGGCAGCAGGTTGTCAAGATATTGTGTCTTTCGGCAGCCAGTTAAAGCCTTATTGTGCTAAGTACTGTATACTACCGGTTCCATACCTAAAATTAACTGTTAAGTGTAGTCAGTTAAAACCTTAATGTGCTCTGTAATACCTTATTTACTAAAAATTAAGTAACAATATAAGTTTAATATTTAAATTCTAAACACACAGTAATAGTGGCAACTCTTGTGCTGTCAAGATGTTTCGTCTTTCGGCAGCAGGTTGTCAAGATATTGTGTCTTTCGGCAGCCAGTTAAAACCTTATTGTGCTATACAGTACATATTACCCTACAATTAACTGTTAATAAGTGCAATTTGTCCTTTGTAAGTCACCTAATCAGTCAAGCTTATATATTTTTCAGCATGCACAAAGTATAATTTAGAGTCAACTGATTAAGTCGCAGCAAGAATAAACTGCAAATCCGAGAAGGAATACACTTATTATTCTTTTAAAAATTCTATGATTTAATAGCTAGTGCTAAATTGTAACTAGACAAGAAATATGCTTTCTAAAAATAAATGTTGAAAATCGCTTGGTGAAGACAAGACCGTACAAGCGTTTGTCTTCACCATTGAGGTGTTTTTTTTCTTTTATTTCTATTGAATTGAACATCACATTGATCACTATATTAAGCCTGCAGCACACGAGAGCTATCTGCTGAGCAAAAAGTTACTCGTGCCTGTTAGCTCAGCTCACCGTGTGCGGGTACATTTTACTTAGCCTGCGTGGCAGGCCCTCGAATTTATGGGGGGGGGGCTGATTTGCAGCGGGCAGGATTTTGGCGGGCTCCGGGGGAGGATTAAGGGCCTGCAGGAAAGCCCCCCTTTCATGACTACACGCCGTTCAGATTCTGGACGGTGAATGCGATCACCTGATTGGTCAATAGCAAGTCAGTGGAAAACCGTAGTATTTGTTGAATCCAATATTGTTGCTATCTAATCCTCGATCTATCTTGAACATCGATCGTGGCTATTTTTTCTTATTCAGCAGCGATACAAAAGATGATCTCACTGGCCAGTCGTCAGGAAATAGCACAGGATAATTGCAAACAATTAACGTGCATAGATGTAAAATTGTAAATACTGATTCTGATGATGTACTATATAAAAGTATTAAGCTCAACATCGACGGTTTGAAAACGTGTGCAGGGCGTTCGTCACTGTGGTCCAGCCACTTTTCGTTTGTAGGGTTTCGAGTCACAATATTCCCATTCGGATGACCTAAAAGCACTTTTAATGATTTAAGCACAGTTACTTTAAGTGACGAACGCCCACGAACGCCCTTCACACGTTTTCAAACGGTCGATGTTGAGCTTACTTCGGTACATCGTCGGAATGAGTATTTACATCCACGTTGTCTGCAGTACCTGTGCTATTTCTTGATGACTGGCCAGTGAGATCATCTTTTGTATTGCTGCTCAACAAGCACTGTACTTTTACGCGCAGTTTTCGATTCAGTTCTTGGCATACCACCAGGAAAACATCGCGGAGAACAAACGCGATTTGATTCAGTTTGGTTGAATGGACTAGCGCCACGGTCAGCGTGTCAGGAATTAACAGTTTACGCTTTCCTGATGTTTCTACCGATCTTTGGGCTGGTAATGGTGTTGAAACTTCTCGTGTAGTGCTGTAGTGTATTGACAAAAGCCAACTTTCTCACATATTAAATCTGAGAGCACAATTCCGAAAGATTGTTTTCTTTCTGATGGTTTTTTGTGATGAATCATGAACATTTTTACTAAAATTGCCAAATTGCTGTTTAATTTAAAACAACATTTACAAAATCTGCAATTATAGTATTGAGCGGTATTGAGTTTAATTCGCAATATTGTTTGATTGACATGTTTACTTGCAAGCGAATATTTTTAGAAACAATTAATTATGTTATGTCTGGGGCGTGTAGTCATGAAAGGGGGGCTTTCCTGCAGGCCCTTAAATCCCCCCCCCCGGAGCCCGCCAAAATCCTGCCCGCTGCAAATCAGGCCCCCCCATAAGGGCCATTGAGGGCCTGCCACGCAGGCTACATTTTACTGAGTGTTTTGCCTCATGCAACCTTTTCTCACGTATCAAACATGTTTGATCGGTGAGCTATCGGCTGAGCTAACAGAGACGAGTAACTTTTGGCTCAGCAGATATAGCTCTCGTGTGCTGCAGGCTTAAGGGATGTGTTAACTCAACTCAACCATCTTATGTATCAATTGTATGCCTAGCCAGAAAATATGACTTGACTCAGGTTAGTAGGGTCACATTGATAATTTAACAAACTCACCCTATTATTAGGTAAAAGGTTAAAAGTATACTTAATTTTTTAAATCTTTAATATCAAACTTTCTGTTCTTTTATAAATTATTTCCATTCATGATTCATGCATCATTGACCCATGTGATGTGAACAATTTAACTATATGTATTAACTGAGAGAACAATTTGGTGCAACATGTAAAGATCAAGTTTGAAGTTGCTAAGTTGCTTTTATATATTTTTTATCAATATTTTAGTACAGTATTATATTTAATATCATCGTAAAATAACTTCACGGAGTTCACGGCCTACCTTCAGAATTCAGATATTAATTCAAAGTGTTGCCTGCGTCAAAATCGCTCTTGAGATGAACTAGGGTTTATCTTGCGAGTAAAATTTACACGTAAAATAGTAAAATACTGTCCAAACCCAGCGTACCAGATACAAAACTATAAAATACTGAATATAAAATGCTCGCTTATCGTAGCGCCATTTTTATTTTTGGATCGGTAAATAATGTCGTATAAATGGCGAGGCGGCGCGCAAATTCCTGAGTTAAGAAAACTGGGGCGAATATTTTTAGACCCAAGCATTAACACACCTGAGTGTTTGAAGTCTGAAGTCTGAAGTTTGAAGTCTGAAGTCCCTTCACGGCTTCCGTAAAAAATAGACCCAAATTGAAGATTTATAACTTTCCGGAAAATTGCTTGCAGACGAGTTTTATTCCTGATTACTTAACTTTAATAGGCATACTTTCAAATTACATGCCTTATGAACTTCAGATATATTGGTGTCACCTTTGAGCTATTTTAAGTAAAATATGAGCAGAGGCGCCGGAATATCGATAATTGGGGGGGCGGGGGGTGGGGGCAGATATTCATATATTCGTGTTCTGCCCAATTAATTTCTTTTGAAATCGATTGTTTTTACAGTCTGTGTACGCGAATATATGAATATCTGCCACCGCTATTATCGATTCTCCGGCGCCTCTGATTATATGAGCGATTTTCAGCCCCTCGTCGCCATCTTGTAAACATAGTGTCGTAAAACTATAAAAAAATCGTACTAAGCAAATAAAGTTGTTCAATCTCCATGTAAATGAAAGTATTAGTGTTAATCTTGCATGTAAACAGTAACTGAAGGGGATAAACGCATCACAACGTTTTTAAAAAATCAGACGAATTCTTGTAAAATTCCCCTTCATTTCCGGTCTGAAAATATTCTCGCAAGGTCAAATTTTAACATGGCTATAACTCCTATAAAACAGAAAGTTGAAACGTTCTGGAAGAAGCTCGTTTAATATTGACCAAATGCAAAATATGAGCTAAATCTATTTTTCCTTCCCCAAACCAGTGAGTGGATTTTACTGAGAGGCCCTCTTAACTGTTGATGACCAATTCAGTTCTGTTTTTACCAATTCACTTCAATTTTAAAAACCCAAATACGATTTATTTGATAGGTAGAACTGCTTTGCATCCTACAACAGCAAAAGTTTGAAAGGTATCAGGTTTGTTTTCATAAAAACGACACTATTTGAAGATCGTGACTAAAACACCACACGAGTACATACGAGTAACATACGAGTAACACACAGGTACATACGAGTACATACGAGTAACACACGAGTACATACGAGTAACATACGAGTACATACGAGTAACATACGAGTAAAATACGACTAGTAAACTTGTTTTTAGTGTTTGTAGATTGAATGCAGGCAAAAAGATCGTCTTCTCTGTCGAAAAACGTGAAATAGACTGAAACCGGCTATCTTTAAAACCCGGAACGGGGAATGGGGGAACGGGGAATGGGAGAACGGGAAGTGGGGGAACGAAGGGAATGGAGGG